CTGGAGTATAAATGGGGCATGTGTTTCGGGGTACCCAGCTAGAATACATTGGTTCGTGAATCATCATTTCCATAAGATGGTATGACTTGGCTATGGTCTAGCACCGTAGTAAGAACTGGAAGACGAAAGATGGTGAAATGGTTCTGATTGCTCAACCCTTGCTTGGAAGTAGAACAGTTGCTTACTTAGAATGGTTAGCTAATGAAGTAATCATGACTGCTAATAAAACTTGACTGTAAGGATGAACTATTAGTAATGCTTTTATCAAACAAAAAGAAAACAGCAAACCCATATTGCTTATAAAACATGGATTGTTTCGAGTTCTCCCTTGGGGAGTGCTCGATGGAACTGTCCGAGGTAGCTAACTTTGGGGTGCTTAGTGTCTAGTGGAAGACGAGCACCTTCGAAAGCATGTTATTTCGGACGGTTCTGCCACACAACAGTGGGAGATGGAACGTCGATCTGCATGTCGGCGCTTCCTCTGGAAGAAGTGCTTCTCGTCGAAAGGAACAATGCCGCGCGCTTGAGCTTCCCTAGATACTTACTCATCTTCCTCTTGGTGAGGGTTCAGGATTTTAAGTCCACCGAACTGGACTTCTCCAGTTGTATTTATTCTTCAGGTGCATCTATCGGTCCTAGAGATGGAGACCGTGATGGTTGTATTTGCTTCTCATGCCACTCCAAATTAGAGCATTGTTTCGGTCTTGGCTTGAAGGCGAATCACTCTTCCTACCCATTGAAATGGAATTTAATTTCTCTAGCTCCGACATCAATGTGTGCATTTGTAGTGCTCAGGAAGGATCTCCCAAGGATGAGGGGTGTCTTCATATCTTCCTGCATGACAAGCACCACAAAATCCACTGGAACAAAGAAGTTTCTTATTTTTACCGAAATATTCTCATCGATTCCTGTAGGGTAGTGGACCGATTGGTCGGCTAGTTGCAGGCACATCGATGTTGGCATGAGTGTTGAATAGTTGAGCTTGTTGAAAACCTTCTTGGGCCCTTACGCTTGCTCCAAGATCGCATAGTGCATTTTCAAAATTCTAGTTTCCGATTGAACAATCAATAGTGGGACATCCTGGATCCTTCTTCTTGACAGGTGATGTATTCAAGATGGCCGCACTACACTCCTTCATTAACTTGATTACTTTAGTGATAGGCAGTGGTCTCTTGTTGTTCAGAATGTCTCTGAGGTACTTCGCATAGGCGGGTACCTGTATGGCATCTAGCAGAGGAATATTGATATATAACTTTTGAATTACCTCTACGAACTTACCAAACAACTCATCCATTATGGCTTTTTGATTTCTACGTGGAAATAATAGGAAAGTGGTGTCTTGAAAATCTTGCATCATATCTTGTGCTTGCGGCTCAACTTCTTCAACTTCATCATCCTTCTTCTCCTCTTGTACTGTTGTCGGTGTCTTACCTGTCCTTGTTGGATATGGAGGATCATGAGTAGACTTGCCACCTCTTGTGGTTATGGCGTTGACCTTTTCAAGGTTAGTGGCAAAGGCAGAGCAGCAGCCAACTAGGCTAATTGTGATTTTATCTTTTTATAATAGCTAAGTTGGTCTTTTATAACAGAAGAAAAACTATCTATTTTCGTATTTATGTTTTCTAGGACCTTATCATTAAAAGCAAACTTTTTAGAAATATTCTCATTAATCCTGGCTTGTTCTAAGATCAAGTCTATCAAGGATGGTTGCTTAGGATTAGAGGAATAATTACCGGGGTACTTACCTTGGTAATTTGATCATAGTTGTTGTTGATTCCATCCTTGTCTCTGTTGTTGTGGAGCAGAATTATTGATGACAATATTTGTGTCTTCTTGATACTCGGGGAAATCAACCCCCAAATATTCTCCACATATGTTTTAAGCATTGTAAGCATCTTGTATAGCTTGACGGTCTTTTTTTTAATTGGCTCGCTGTTCAAGCCAACTCAATAAGACGTCCATCTTGGCTGACAGTGCACACACCTCTTCTGGTACTTTTTCGCTCTTGTTGCAAGTTTGGATGATGCATTGAGACCAGCCTTAATTAGAGACTATCTTTTCCATAAGAGTTTTAGCTTTTCCAAGGGTGAGTGACATAAATGGCCCTACAACAGTAGCATCGAGTTGTTCATGAGCTTTCTGAGTGAATCTATGGTAAAAGCTTTGCATGAGCAACCATACTTCCATCCCATGATGAGGACAATCTCAAATGTATTCTTGAAAACGTTCCCATGCCTCTGGAATGGTTTCTCCTTTCTGCTGTTGGAAGTTGAAAATCTTTCCTCGTAAGGAATTGGTCTTGCCTATAGGGAAGAACTTTGCTAGAAGGCCTTTGAACACTTTGCCCATGTATTGATATTATCTTTGTTGGTGTAGAACCACTGCTTCGCCCTTCCCACTAGCGAGAATAGAAAGAGGCGGAGTAGTATGATATCTTGAGCAACGTCCTTGATGGTAATTGTGCTGCTAATCTCCAAAAAATTCTGAAGATGAGCACTAGCATCTTCATGTGCCTTTCTGCTAAATGGGGTAGCTTGCACCATGTTGATGAGGCTTGCCTTGAGCTCGAACTCAAGGTTGTTGGTTTTGAGTGTTGGTCCAGTGCGGATGTTCTCAGTGCTTGGAGCAGAGAATTCAGGTTGAGTCTTTTCAGCCATAGCTTCAGAAACTGGTGTTAAGTCTCCTCTTTATTTGTTTGATTGTGATGGATTGAATTTGTTGATAAATCAGAACCAATCCTACAATACCCTGTATAAAATATGAACAAAGACAAACAATGGTAAGAATGTTAAAGCAGAGGTGAATAGTTATGATTTCATCAATAAGTATTTATTTGATCAATTCTCTTAGCTTTGTGCCCCTCCCCGACAACGGCATCAGAAATGCTTATTGGGATTTCTTAGCATCACTCTTTGCTAAGTTGTCATCCCTAGCAATGATGCCAGAAACACGTTGTTGGTAATTATTGAGAACACTTAAAAATTTATATTAAGTAATCCGCAAGCACATAGATAATATACTATTGTAGCATTTCACCCGGGACTATACCAGTTATCGTTATTTATATTTTTTTACAGGGAGGAGCCATGGGGTGGCTAGAGTATTGTCAAATATGCATACTTATAACAAGATCATTAACTCTCATGCTATAGTAGGGGTAAGTTAAATGATAAATAAATGATAAGTGTAAGGCATTGATAGTATTCCAGAGATAGAAATAGATACTCATAAATGTAGTATGGCTAGACAGAAGATTAATTAAGAGCAAAAGATTCCTAAGTCATTCCTTATTTATTAAGTCTCTTGTACACCCAAGTATATACACTCTCATCTATAGCATAATTAACTCTATATCTATGCATAAGGAACATTTCTAATGAAGATCAAGAACAGAGCTTGCCCTTCGCAACCGGGTTCTACTTGTTCTACAAATAGGGAGTGGACTACAAATGACTAACGGGATTGTCACATCCGCGATCTACCACATGACCCAGAATGTAGAATGCATCCGTAGGTAAATAATATTTAAGCACCACGCTTATATAGTGTCGACCACTTAACCTACTCGAGTATTGAGCTAAGCGCTTTACGAACATATGCATAAATTCATTATCAAATGATGGCCTAATTAAGTTTAAAAAATTCGTTTCCCAAATTGGTCATAATTTATGTAATTAGTTATTTTTTTAAGTGCATATTTAATACTCATCCGATGTCACAGGGAGCGGGGAGGAAAACAAGGCCGGCGTCAGTCAAAAGATCACGCGAGTTTCCAAACAGTAGAGTGTTGTACGACAGTACCGAGTACGGAGTAGTATACTGATGTAAAGCTTGCGTGTCCGTGCTACCCCTAGCTATGGTACATATCGGTTGCTCCAATACACCAGTCACCAGTGCTCTCCTCGTATGGTACAAGCTTCACGCCATCCGTTTCGTCGATGCCGGACGTACATAAATGGAAGCACGCGTGCAAGCGTAGTGGCCATTGACTTTGGTAGGCACAGTGCAACAAATGATCCTTTGTCTTGCTGTCAACTTGTGCCTACAGCCTACCAAAGGATATGGTGAAACAAGCCAAAAATACTTGAGAAAATAATTTATTATGGTCATGTTACGATGTGAACGTAGTACTACTCATGCATTTTTCAGGCTGCTTGGCAAGTGGCAACTGACGTTTTGCCTCCATCGGTCACGAGCGTCTTCACATCGAAATTTCAAATTTGAGTAGCACGCAAGTCATGTTTAGACCCACAAATCCGCGTTTCGCCTGCTCCATCGTCTCTCTGTTTTGTTTTGTTTTATATATATATATATATATATATATATAAGCGCGTTCTAATTGGACTACACACCCCTTGTTTATCATAGGCTCCCTACTCTCTTTTGGGGCCAAACTATGTCTGCTTTTCCAGCTATCAGCGTCACTAGGCAGGGTGCTAAACATATGCATCTAGTACAATCTAAAAAGCATCACGCAGTAGCCTTGTATCCAAATCAGGATAGCGGCCAGGCGGCCGCCGACGGCAACGGCAACGGCGCAACAGGACGTCACATGCGATCTCTCGGCTCGCCGTCCTGAAGAAAGAACCAAAAAAAAAAAAGACGCATATGGTAGGCAAATAAAATATATAGAGATCGACTCGTTTTTTCAGTGAGGAGCTTCTATTAGGATGTTTGTTTACCTGGCTATCTCCTAACTAGACTTTCTAGAGTTAACTTGAATCTGTTTGATTGGCTGAACAGGCCTCTTAGCCAGGCTCCAGCAAACCACCATGGGATTCTTAGCCAGGCTCCAGGAAAAACTAGGAGCTGGGCGTTCTTCTGGAGCCAGACCCTGGCTAGCACAAGCGTGAGTTCTGCTCACCTCCCGTTGCGATGGCGTCGTCGCCCCGTCGTCACCTCGTCCACCACCGCTAGCAGAGGGCAGGTGCGGCCGGCGAGGCCCGCGCGGGCGCGTCCGGGAAGGTCCCCGGCGGGTGTGGCCGTCTCCACCCCGGCCGATGCGGCCGTCTCCACCGACGAGGGCAGGTCGCAGCCGACGAGGGCCCGTGCGGGCGCGGCCGTCTCCACCGAATGGCGCAGGGGGCAGCGGGGAACTGGCTGGAGGAGGTGAACGGCATGGCGCTGGTGCTGCACGACCTCCTCGCCGAGGAGCAGGGGAGGGGCGTCGTACTCCCGCGTCAATGGCGAGCGGCCATGGAGGTGGAGGATCCGAGCGTGGCACCTCGCCGGAGGTGCAGGAGCCGAGCGTGGCCATGGATGTGCTAGAGCCGAGTGTGGCCATGGATGTGCTGGAGTCCAAGATCCCCGTCGGCCGTCGTGCTCGTGGCTCCCGAGCTCACCTTGTTCCTCTGCTTCCGCCATGGATTGCTTGGATGCCCAGTCATCAGTGTCAGTGGGCACCCAGTTCTGCTTCAGACCTTCAGTCCTCTCCCTTCTCGTAGTTTGCTTGGTGAGAACAGAGAAGCAAGTGTTCGTCAACGGCAAGTTTGATTCTTTATTAATCGGTTGATGTGTTATCAAACTTTGTAATTTTCTGTGGCTTTGGGAGCAGTTTACAGCTTCTAAATTCCTGCCTCTTTGATCCACACAAGTCCTTCCAACGGACTGGCTGACAGTTTACTAATTCAGTTTTGTCATGATGGAGATGAGCAGCCCATCAGCTGTTCGATAGAAAGGGTAACCCAAACAAACTCTTGTAAAAACCAGGCTAAGGATAGCAGCCCAACCAAACAAAACAAATCCATCTTGGTTTGCTGGGGAACGGCCTAGCTTAAGGCCCCAACCCTAACGAGGCTCCAACTAAGGCACAAACCAAACACACCTATATTGTAAGGCGAGGTAGCAAAATACATATTCTTTGATGGGCCGAAATTTATAAAACAAAAAGATTCGGCCCAATTGCCGAGTAGTAGAAGCACTGGGTGTGGGTGGGTGTCCCTCATTCCAACGGCCCACGGGCGTTTGCCGCCGGCCGTGCTCAATGTGCGCCTCAGAATGGTTAGATATGTAATTAGATGATCAATTAGCAGATAATCACGTCATTAGATTTTATGCTAATTGTTATTAGTCATCATATGCCAATTAGGATTAGCAATAACTAATCTGGATCGTTTAGGTTACCCCCAAAAGGGCACCAATTCGGTCCCCAACAGTCATTCGTAAGCATCCATTATGAAGTGTATATATATGAATTATTTGTTTGTTTGATTCATTCATTCATTCGATTTCTGGTTCTCATTTACATCAAGAACTTCTAGTTCCAATATTATGTTATCAAGCACGCATACATGCTCTGCACAAAGAGTAATCGGCTAGAAGACGACCACAATAATGCAGCAGTAGAGGAGGAAGAAGAAAGAACTTATTGGACAAGGCACAAAAGCCATCTTCTTCCACGAAGTTAGTTTTCACTATAAGTCTGCAACATCACTCGCAATAATGGCGTTAGTGACAACAGAGGGTAAGAACAATGGCTTGCCATTCATGGCGAACATAGAAGAGCAAAAAGAGTCTCCATCGCCTCAATCCAGAGCCATAAACACCATTAACTCGAGCGCCTCATCGAGAAACAACACCTACAGAGGCATGGCAGCACCAAGCGTATCCACGCCGACCAATGGAGAGCATATGCGCCTTTGTGTGCGAGTCCCATGCCTACGGTTGAACGCATATATGCCCTAATTTGTTAATTTGAGGTTCTAGTGATTGATGAGCACAAGTGTTATGAGTAACATGTGTTTTGCAGCGATATTTATATTGGAGTTAGTTACAAGTTGAATGCCCACGGGTGTCTTGGTTCCAAAGACTTGGATCGTTGATTGACGTATGGCGCAAAGAATCGTGAAGACTAAGGACACATTAGAGCGAATATAAGATTAGTGCTCAAAGACATTCGCTGCAGTGTGCATCAGGGCTTTGTTTTCCTTTACCGTACTATTGAGGGGAGGGGTCCACGGATTTTGAGGAAGTTCAAGCGAGAGCATTTAGTGTAACACGTGGTTTACTCTCGTTGAAGTCCGAAGGAATAAGTAGCCCCGTTGGATAGGTTATAAGTCAAAGGTTTAAAAAATAAATTGATTGAGACCGGACTTAAAATAGGTTTGAAAAATGCTCTGAGAGATAGGAGTGATACTTGCGATCGTCCGTAGCACCATGCCTAGAGCCACTACTGCAGACGGGCTCTTTGCCGAGTGCTTAGGGCACTCGGCAAAGCCCCTATTGCACTCGGCAAAGGCTTTGCCGAATGCCGCACTCGGCAAAGAGCAATCGGCAAAGAACCCGTCGACAAAGGTTTCTTTGCCGAGTGCCACATATCGGGCACTCGGTAAAGCCTTTGCCGAGTGTCACGTCAGCACTCGGCAAAAAAAATCCGACGTCAACTCTTACGGCCTCTTTGTCGAGTGCCACCTCAGCGGCACTCGGCAAAGAATTTTTTTAAAAAAAATTCTTTACCGAGTGCCATACTATTGCACTCGGCAAAGAAATTTTTTCTTTTTTAAAAAAAAATCTTTGCCGAGTGCCATGGCTCTGGCACTCGGCAAAGCTAGGAAATTGGGTCTCTGCTTCCTAGCTTTGCTGAGTGTCATGGTCACGGCACTCGGCAAAGCCCTCTTTGCCGAGTGACTCGGCAAAGAGGGGAAAATGCTATTTTTTGGTTTTTTGCTTTCCATCAGCACAAACAAAGAAATCACATATATATCAACACACAGCACAGGATATATCACATACACATCCATATTCCATCACATACACATCCATAACCCATCACATACACATCCACCATCCATAATACATCACATACAAATCCATTGTCCATAATCCATCACATACATTCGCATCATCCATGACAATATCCATCACAATATATATATGTCTCTAATAGTAGTTCAACATAAAGCTAAGTCTAACACAAGTCCATGCAAGATGAAAAGAAACAAATAAACGGTACCTACTGCCAGCCTCCCCACCCAGAGTGTGAACTGCCACCTTGAGGAGGGCCAGTTGGTCACCGGCCTATGGAGAAGGGCCACCTTGAGGAGTCCGGTTTGAACCCGCCGACTGTGGCTGAACAAAGGAGAAGTGAATTCATGAGTATCTACAGGAGGGCCGCATAAGCTAAAGGAATATAACAACCATATATACTCATCGGAGTCCCTATAGGAGGAGGAGCCACAACTGGAGCGAGCAGTGACTGGGGCACGACCACACCTGGCAAGGCCTGAAGGCTCGCCATGAAGCTGAACATGTCCTGCAGCCTCTGCGCCTCGGCCGCCCTCTGGGCTTGTACAGCCTCCATCTCCAGCCGATGGGCCTCAACCTCCGCAAGTCGGCCTACAATATTCCACCCGCAATGTTTAAACAATGCAAAGGCAAGGTAGATGTGTAAAAGCAATGAACGACGAATAAAACAGTACTAACCTGGAGTTCCGCCATCTGCTGCTGTGAGCTCTGCTGCCGAGAGCGTATGGGGAGGGAGGAGCTCATGCTCCTTGCTCGAATCTCGGCGAGGTTGGGAACAGAGGCGGAGTCGACTGTGCTATCTGCCATCCAGTACTGGCCGTGCTGCTTCCCTCCTCCCATCCTCATCAGGAGGTCTGTGTCCAGGGGCTGGGTGGCCGGATCGAAGTCCTCCCCATGGCGCTCGTGGGCCGCCGAGGTGTACTCGCTAAGCTTGCTGTGGACACTCGTGTTGGTGTATGCCTCGGGCCCGTCCGCCGGGTTGTAGGTGACTTCCGGGGTCGTCGCCTTGCCCTTGTGTGTTAGGGCGTACGCCATGAACTCGTTGCATTCCTGGCCTTGGTGCGCCTGGGACTGCGAGGAAAACACAAATATGATTACAAGTAATGAGAATTGAGCGTTAGAATAAATAAATAAAGATGAAAACACAAAGAAGATTACCCATGTCTGGGCGTACGCGCTGAGGCTCCGGTTGCCTTGGTGGTGTGGTGCCCCACCCATCTGCAGGCGGCAGTCCCGACGGATGTTATGCTTCTCCGCCCACTCCTCCGAGAGCCACCTGTCCATAATGGCCTCCCAGCAGAGGCGGTGCCTGGCACACCAATCAGGACATTGTTGCATGCCATCAAGGTATTGATATGTCAGAAGATGAAATAAAGCCTACCTATTCTTCATGGAAGAAGTCAGTATTAATGTTTCGTACTTACCGAGAGGTACTGCTCCTTGGTGAGCGTCCTGGTCCTGGCATCGGCCTTTCTCACCACCTGACCAATGACGTCGGCGTTGTAGTTGATGATGCACTGGAGCCGCGTCTCGTGGTACAGGTCTGAGAGTCGGGACCTATAGACCTTGTCCTGCACTCGCGCCGCCCGGTCCTCAAACCCTTCGTCGCACCTGAAGAAGTCCTGCATATAGACATCATGTATCGTTTCATTATTTCAAGAACGACCAATGAATGCGTAGTATTGACCAATTTAGTGCGATGCAGACTCACCCAGAACTCGGCCTTGATCCGCCCCGCAATGGTGCCGAACTCGCTGTCCTCGGTGGCGTAGAAGTGGTCCCACGTCCAGGGCGGCGAAGTCACCGAAGCGTAGGTGACCTTGCCAGGGTAGTGCTGCCGAATCAGAAGGCCCAGGGTGCCATTGATGTGCCGGCCCGTTCCAGACACAACTTCCCAGTTGCTGCAAGAGTCATTAAGAATTGTTAGTCTCCAGTTCGATTTTCAACATGTCATATGAAATAGTAGTGAAATAATACTTGTCGCCGCTGGGTCGAATCATCGGGCGTCGGTGAAGTGGGATCGGCCGCGCCGTGAGCTGCGAGGGCCCGCGCAAGTAGACTCCCGACGAGGTAGAGCCAGAGGCAGTGCAAGTGGAACCCCCTGCTGTCGCTATCGTCGCCTCCCCATGGTCCGATGAGTCAGAGGAAGTGCCACCCCCTCCTATGTGCAGGCCCATCGCCTGGTCGTCCTTGTCCACCGACAAGGTGGCAGCCGGCTGCACCCTCGTCCTCGGACGACCGTGGGGGCGACCGGTCCTCGTCCTCCTCGTCGATGGCTCCAGCAAGGGGTCCTCCTCAGCGTGGGGTGGTGAGCGCTCCCTCATGTAGAGGGAGTTGACCCCCCGACGGGCCTGCCTTCCACCCGGCATTTTGTCGAGTGCCTACAATTTCAAAGAGTAAACCAATTAGCACAGTTAAATTACAAGTACTTATAAAGAGATGCAAAATGAACGAAACATAATTTCAATAATAATAATAATAATAATAATAATAATATAGTATTACATGAATTAGAAATATTCTTCACGATCGGCAGCGGCTGGATCATAGGTGTCGTCATCACTATCAATATTGTCGAGTAAATCGGGCTCATCTCCATCGTTGTCATCATTGTCATCGCCTAACTGTAATCGTTCAAGCATTTGTAAGTCCTTAGCATTTTGCACCTCTTCTCCGTCGTCCTCATCTCCATCGTCCTGAT